GAAGGAGCACATCTCTCTTCACATCAGGTGGTTAATAGAGGTTATGCAGACATGCAGATGTTCTCTGCTGCATCTGGGATAAACCCTCGGCTCCCATCACTCGATAGCAGTGAACGCACAGGAGGATCCATAACGCCAAGAGAAAGCAGAGCCTTGTCAGAGGTCAGGTAGTGGGCTTTCTTCTTCATGTCCTCTTTTTTTAGGCTCTGTCGGAAAACAGCCTTATCAAAGTAGGTTTTCTTTATAATAAGAGGGAGTAATGGCTTATGCAAATTGTTTTTCTTTGGCAGCTAGAGCAAGATGAACTGATTTATGCTAGTGTTAAATAGGAATGAGCCTTATTTTGTTATAAAGAAATACAACATTTCAAATTGTCAGCAGAATATAGTCATTAACAAATCAGCCTTTGGAAACAGCACGCTTTAAAATTAACTCGGTTTTCAAGTAAGCATCTTAATGCCCATGGTTTTAGGATGCTTCAGCGTGGTGGACTTCATAAAGGTATAAATCATGAATCTACCAATGTCAATTTTATTCATTATAAATGATATATAATAATTCTATAAATGTGATTTGAAGGCTGGAATAATAATTGAAAGGCAAAGGAAAATGTCTGGAGGTCATTAATGTGTAATCTGTGATTTCACTGGGACTGTGACTTTCCTCAGGTTGATGTGCACTCCTATGAGGTTCCTCTGAGGTGTCTTCTGAAACAAATTTATTTCAAAGTTGAAGTGAATAAAGACCTTTTTCCTTTCTTAAATCTGAAAACACACGTGCTAGAACAAGTCCATAGTTTAAAGTATCCAAGCACAGAAAAACAAAATTGCCGTTCGTATTGCTTCAGCTCACTCCCTGTTCTTTTCTAAGTACCTCAACTGAAAAACAAAAAACATATACAATTTGGGTTTAGAAAATATTATAGAATATACCAAAATGTGGCAGTTAAACTGGTGATTGATTGGAGTGAAATATGGTCCAAAAGTGAAACTCTATTTTTTTATAATTTTGTATTTTTCTTCCTTTTGCCTCAGCAGGTAACATCTGGTGATGGGAGGAAATCAAACACAGACTAAATTCATCCTCTTGGGAATTACAGAGAGTCCCCATGTGCAGGCCTCTCTTTTTGGGTTGTTTCTATTAATTTACATCGTCACTTTGGTGGGGAACATTGGGATTATGGTCTTGGTTTGGGTGGTTCCCAGCCTCCGCACCCCCATGTACTTCTTCCTCACCCACTTTTCATTCACTGATGTCTGCTATTCCACAGTCATCTCCCCCAAAATGCTAGCAGACCTGTTATCGGAGAATAAAACCATTTCTTTTGCTGGCTGCGTGACACAGTTCCACAGCTTTGCTTTCTTTGTGACTGCTGAGTGTCATCTCTTGGCTGTGATGGCCTATGACCGGCATGTTGCTATCTGCAACCCCCTGCTTTACGCAACGGTCATCTCCAGCCGCGTCTGCTGGCAGCTGGTAGCGTCGTCCTACCTCATTGCCTTTCTCAGTGCCGTCATCTACACAGCCTGCACGTTTGGGTGTTCCTTCTGCGGACCCAACCAGATCAACCACTTCTTCTGCGATGCCAGCCCTGTGCTAAAGCTTGCGTGCTCTGACACCCACAGCAACGAGATGGTCATCTTTGCCTTTGTGGCCATAAACGCGGTGGGCACGAGCATGATCGTTTTGCTCTCCTACATCTGTATCCTCCGCACGGTCCTGAGGATGCGCTCAGCATGGAGCAGGTCCAGAGCCTTCAACACCTGTGCCTCCCACTTGATAGCCGTTTCCTTGTTCTACGGGACAATATTCTTCATGTACCTACAACCCGCATCTAGCCACAGCAGCTTGGATAAGGTGGCCTCCATCTTCTACGCCGTGGTCACCCCCATGCTCAACCCGTTCATCTACAGCCTGAGGAACAAGGAGGTGAAGCATGCTCTGGTGAAGTGCGGGAGAAGGATGTTAAACCTCGGCCAACATAAATGAGCTGTATCAGCTAGGAAATGAACAGTTTATCTTATGTGAGAAAGCCAGTGATGTGTTAAAGCAATTGGACTTTTTTCCCTAATCCTCACAATTTTATATAGGTTCTTCCACGGTTTCTGCACAACAGGGAATTACAGTAATTAGCCCTGAGAAATAGACCCCACAATCACATCTTCCTTGGAAGGAAACCAGACGTGGGACCCTCAAACTTTATTTCACTTTGCAGTTATCAGCCTGTAGGAAGAAGTTACCCTGAATTATTCCAGGACTCTCTTTCTCACAGAAAGTACGAATCATAGTTTTATTGATTTATAACTTTTTTCACTGATAAATATGTATTTTTCTTGCAAAATTATTGACTTTATCCCTAAACTCCAATAAAATTCCTCACTGTTACCCACGAGTTACTTATTAAAGTTAAGCTGCTTGGGGTGGGAGGGAACATTTTGGAAGATTAAGTGTGTTTTAAAATGTGCTTGCTGAAAAAAAAGTAAGATAAAAGGCTTGAAAAGATACAGTGCGTTTGTTTCTGACTTAAAAAATGAAAAAGCTGGTGGGAGTCAGGATCTCAAGCTACACCTTTGAATATCAAGGGGAATCCCTCCCCAGGCTACACGCTTCAGCATACATCTTCACTTAAAGGAAGAAAGCGTAGGCAATATAATTAAAAATACAGGACGATGAACTGTGCTGAAACTGCCCAGTGTTAAGGACAATTTCTGCATGGTGATAGCATCAAGGGGGGCTGCCGTTCATTTTAAGTGATCTTTTACATTCCTCTTAAGTGCCATTTACTTAACCGGTGAGACAAATGGAATTACACCAGGAGATATGCATCAGTGCCCCACGTCCAAATGCTCACGCTAAAGCACACCATGAAAACCAAATGCCACGTTTCTTTTAAAAATTATGTGTGTGTCTAGTTTCCATAGTTGAAAGACAACCCTGAACATATAATCTATGGGTAGCTGATAGCTGTCTGGGTCTGAACAAAGCCCCAAACCAGCAGTTCTGCAAATTACGGCTCGTTAAAGAATGGGGGACGTAAAGCATGGCACAGGAATAGCCACAAGACTGAGGAGGGGCCGGCAACCCTTCATCTTTTACCTGGCAGGCATGTAAGAGAAAAAGCATCCTAATTTCTGCTCTTCCTGATTAATTCCAAAGGGCATTTGCTGTTTCTTGAGCGCACACTCGTAAGCATTTGTGACGGGGTGCAATTCTGCAAATTCCTTGCAAAATTCAGCTAAGTTCAGGTTGGCTGGACAAGTTCAGCATTGGGTCTTCCTCCTCCTCACACACTTTATTTTGGTTGCCCCTCACCTGTTTGGTTGCCCCTTGCTGCTCAGACACCTTCTGTCCTCAGAGTTACAGACCTGCATGCCTTGCCTGCAGCGGAGAGATGCTGCGGCAGAAAAATATCTTTTCCCTTAGCCGTTGTGAGTAGCGTGGGAATTAACTTATATTTGGAAAGTAGATGGATGGTGAACAGTCCCTTTTGGGTGCTCTGGCACACAGCAGCGGGAGAGGAGATGTTGTCTTAGTTCTGGGGGAAAAGTGGCTTCCACCTGCAGCTGAATGAAGGAGCTGGAATCGATAGAATTAAAAGCTAAAGAGCTTGGCAAGACAGGGACTTTTGATGTCAGATAGTTTCGTTCTTTTGAAACCTTCACCATACCTTGTTAGTCTTCCTTCTAGTTTGTTGGATATTTTTGCTTGTAGTATACCTATAGAAACATAGAACCATAGAAAGCCCAGGTTGGACCTCGAAAGATCATCTGGTCCAACCTTTCTTGAGCAAGGGAGCCTAGACGAGAAATGTAATATGTAGCACTCACTGCTGCTTGACGAATTACCCTACTCGGGGTGTCCTTATTTCCTCTTGTTTTTAATTAAGTTTCCAAAGCAGAGAAAACTAAAATGCTCAAATGTTTACCCAGACTTGGTGTTATGTTCCTAAAAGAGACCTGGATTGCCATCGTCTTGTGTGTGGTGGATCCAGCTCAGTGAACTTCCAAGAGGAACTTCAGTCTAAAGTGCAGAGGAGGCAGAATTGTAAACTCCCGTGATATAACAGTCTTGGTTTTTTGGAGATACTTTTTCTACTAAGAACATCATTGCATTATTTTGCTTCAATCTTTGAAGAGAGGGGATCTACCAAATGTAGAAACCCATGCCTGTAGACACAAACTTCCTGCATTAAATACATAATAGAGATCCTCTCCGTAAGTGGTTCTGACACCTCAAAAAGCAAGCAACTTTTTGGCAGGCAGAGCTGGAAATGTGCCTCTTCGCCCTCTGCTTCAGGTGCAGTTAGATCAGCCTGAACGTTTTGGAAAGAGAAAACCGGATGCTCTGTAGATCATGCAAAACCTGGCCCATATTGGCCTGAGCATTTAAGACTGTAAGCATATAACCTAGCCTTACCTATCTAAAAATTAGTTACCAAATCTTTAGCTTTAGATACCTTCTCTAGCTTTATCCTTTAGATAATAGAGAGGACAGATGTCTCAGAGCAGTGCCTAACATAGGTGAGAGAAATGGCGTTTTTTCCTGTAAAAAAAAAAAAAAAGCATTTCATTAACTAATTTCATTAAATTTCCTGTACAGGAAAGATTCATTGCCCTTTAACAATGAGGGAGCGAGGCCCTGAAAATAAAAAGAGGTCATAAGGCAGGTTTTAAGCTGTAAACTGGGAGATACTGATGGCTGTGGAAGAACATTTCGACAGGGCTATCAAGGAGCCTGGAGCTAATGTCCAGTGTACGTCTGAAAAGACCAAGAGGGAGGAAGAAAAAGCTACATGCAATAAAATACAGAAAATTAATCAGACCGTCTATGGTACCTGGTGACTGGCACGAGCCAGCAGTAGAAAGCAAGCAAGACTTGGGAATGTTTCCAAACCAAATCTGGAAGTCTAAGTAATAGGGTGGGGAAACAAAAATCCTTGGCGTCAAGTGAAGCTACGGCATCCTCTATCACAAAACCAGCAGATAAATATCGTGCCGAAGCTACTTCCACATGACAAACTCCCTCAGGGCGTTCTTCACCTCCCTGTTCCTGAGGCTGTAGATCAGGGGGTTCAGCATGGGTACCACCAGCGAGTAAAACACAGCAAAGATCTTGTCCGTGCTCAGGGTGCCGCTGGACGTTGGTCGGAAGTTCAGGGCAAGGATAGACCCGTGGAAGATGGTGACTCCAGCCAGGTGAGAGGTGCAAGTGGAGAAGGCTTTGTGCCGACTCTCACCAGAGCTGATCTTCGAGATGGCAGTGAGGATGAAGGCGTAGGAGACCAGGACGGCCAAGACGGTCACCATCTCCACCAGTCCCCCGAGGCCAAATATCAGACATCTGTTGACGTGGGTGTCAGAGCAGGAGAGCGCTAGAAGAGGTATGATTTCACAGTAGAAATGGTCAACCTTCAGCTGGCAGAGAGGCTGGCTGAAGGTGAAGCCTGTGTGCACCAAAGAGTGCAGCAGGCCAAGCACGTACGAACCGGCCACCAGCAGGATGCAGACCGTGTGCGACATGACAGCCGGGTAAAGCAAAGGGTTGCAGATGGCCATGTAGCGGTCGTATGCCATCGTGGCCAGAAGGAAGCACTCGGTAGTCCCAAAACCTATAAAAAAAAAAAGCTGGGTGGCACAGCCGGCTAAAGAGATTGTTTTCTTCTCCATCAGAAAGTTCATTAATGTCCTCGGTGCCACCACCGATGAGTAGCAAGCATCTAGAAGAGATAAATTGCTGAGGAAAAAGTACATGGGTGATCGAAGTTGACTGCTGCTCCTGATCAGCACAACCATGCCCAGGTTCCCTGCCAGCGTGATGAAGTAAATGAGGAGGAACAGGACAAACAGAGGCACTTGTAGTCGTGGGTTGTCGGTCAGTCCCACAAGAGTCAACTCCGTAACTTGCTCGGTTTGATTTTCTTCGGCCATCTTCTCCAAAAGCACTGTAACTTATGTTCATAGAGCCATAACAAAAAAAATAAATTAATGGAGAGACTCAGCACCTAAACCCACCAGAAATCCCCAGTGCCTGTAGTGGCTAATGCTCTCACTATCAGAGATTTGTTTAATTTTAAATCAACATTCATCAGAAAGAAACGATTTGGCAAGACAGTGGAAATTTTATTTTGGTATCAGTTATTCTGCCAAGTGTTCAATTTTTCATTCATTCTGATACATATAGATATACTTTTATCTATTGTACACTGATAGTATATATCACATTTCAGTGTAACCCTCCTAAGTTCTAGTTAAAGAAAGGCTTCAGTGATTAGTACCTAAACAAATCAGTTATATCGATAATGAAAACAGACTTTTCACAGAATTTGAACTAGAATATAACCTCTATGTACAGTATTCTGACACGCAGCATCAGCATCACGAGAGCAAATAGGATTTCTGATACATATTTCTGCACCTGCAACTCTTCATCGATTTTCTAAAACAACACCGAGTCTAACAACTTAATGACAAGCTCCGGCTGGGATCAAGTCTCTCAAACACCAGTGAATTCATCAGGTGAAGTCCACCCAGGGAAAGAAAAGCCCTAGAATGTTGGAAATGGTGCGGTGCCATCATTTGGGAGGAAAGAAACCATTAAAAAAAAAAGAAAAAGAAAAAAAAAAGCACAATAAACTTTTCCCTTCATAACGTCTTTCTTTACACCTTCTCATTCTAAAAGTTATACTTTGGAGTTTTAAATAGATGGAAATACACCAGTGCAGCCTGGCTTTTATCACAGAAATCAGTGAGAAACGTGGACCAGCCCTCCGCAGTGGTCCAGAAGCAGCCGCTGTAACATAAATATATATATATTTAAAACAAACCAAGAAAATTGTTGGGTAAACTGGCCCACTTTTAGTCTAGGGTCGTGGAAAATACTGTGCTGCTCTCGGGTTCCTGCCACTGGGACTAAATCTCTTTAGTGGAATGAGAACATCTTTCCCAGCAGGAAAACCAGCAGGTAAATCAGTGTAAAACTGGCATTAATGAGTCTGGCTTGTATTCATAATGGAAAAATTAAATAAACGACGTACCGAGGTGATAGAAGTGCGTGGGGGTTGGCTGTATGTCAGAAAACTCAACCGTTTATTGACACAGCTTATAGGGGTCAAAACCACAGCAGAAAAACCCGTAGAATCACAAAATTACTCAAGATGGAATTCCCCAGCATTGCAAGGAGAAAGACACGTTGCAACTGGTATTTTATCTGCTAACTGGTATGACAACCTTCAAAACGCTCCTGTGCCGCGTGATTTTCCTTCTTCTCTTGTTCGGCTGCTCTTGCGTGACGAGAACGGCTCCCCTGGGTTTGTTTAATAAAGATACAACCGAGAACGATCGAACTCATCTTCACAGACCTCATCTCTGAAGGAGGAAGACGTCCTCCTCCCCTCTTGCTTCCTGCAAGGGATTATATAGCATATTCTGCAAGGATATTATATATCCCCTTAAAGCTTCAAGTATAAAAAAACCCAGGATGTCCTCTTTTCCTTACCAGCCAAGGTCTTGCTTCTTACTTCTTTCTCACTTCACGTTAATTCATGACAGATTGCGAGGACACTTATATGTTCGGTCCGTCCAGCTCGTCTGGTTTAATTGCTTTTGAACACTCTTGTCTCTAATCCACTGAGACTTCTGAGGTGCTTTTGTTGAGAAGTGTTTTGCAAACTTCCTTTGGGAGATATGCAATTATTTTTATATTCCTTTGTTATACATAAAGATGTATGTATGTATGTATGTATGTATATGTATGTATGACAAAGGAATATTAAAATAAAAAAATAAAATAAAATAAATCAAAATCAAATGAAATAAAATAAAATAAAATAAAATAA